GATAGCCTACATTATGCCATTACATACAGAAAAGCAAATCTTCTGTTGGCTTTGGTTGTTGCTGGATGCCTATTTGTCATAGTTTCCTGGTTTTTCTTGCGCTGCTATTTGGCTTAAGTGTGATAAATAGAGTGGCTTATTTACAGTTTTTACACCATGCATGGTTATATTGAGCTGGACAGGTGAATGGCAGTTTAAGTAAAGCTTTAAAGTGCAACCATTGCAGAAGTGAACTTTTTGCTATGTGCGTCATGGTATCCAGAGTCTTCTAAATGAATTAATTTTGTTATTTTGGACAACAAAAGTCCAATTTGCAGGTCAAATCTGTGATACAGGCAGCCAAATGCCTCAAACATACTCTCTCTCTCCTCTCCGTATGCACCAGACACTTTCTTATCAACACTATATTTCTGGAAATATTACATAAAGATTCCTTGCTTGCTTTTAGCCTTACTTTTAAGTCACTTTAGATAAAAAAAAACATCTGCTTAATTAATACATAAAATAAGAGTTGGTAAGAATTTGAATGCAAATCTGCAAAAATCTAAAATTTACAATCCCAAAACCAAATAACCTATAATAATATTAAATACATATATGTATTTAAACTTTAGAGTTGGAAATAAATCTACATTAGCAACTACTGTAAAGTTCTGAATGAGCCTTGTGTATAACTTCATATAAGAACTTAAAAAAACCTCAGATTACCATGAAGTCTATATAATTTCATATTCCTGTCCACAGCAGATGAGATGCCACCAAGAGAATAAGACGAGGTAATCTTTAAGGAGAAGTAAACAAGGCATCTATAAACGTGTCCCACTATGGCTTTATTAGTACCTGTGAAATACGGGCCATGCAGAGGCACAAGGCAGAAAGCCATTAAACTGTTCAGGAAGGCCACAAGAGCTCGGAAAAGCCCATATACATAAATCGACACATGGATAGGACTGCCTACATCTCTCTCTCTCCCTTACTCTCTCTCTCATTCCAAGCCATAAAAGTTGACTTTCTCAAACTCTTGCAGGCCCTGGGCCAGGTTGAGGCGTCATTGGGCTGATTTTCTCTGCATAGTTCTGCCTTAATAAAACGGGATGTTTCTGCACATCTCTTCCAGCACTCTGTCTTCATTCAAAAATAAGAGCTCAAGTCGGTGCAAAAATCCATGATCTTTGATGAGTCTTAATGGCGTAGTTATAATTATTTTCTTATCTATTCTAGGCATGGAATGATAACCGGTTTCAAGTTTACCACGGTTTGAAAAGTCAAGGTTTCAAAACCGCAACAATTCTCTGATATGTTATTCATACACTGTAAAAGACAACAAATATTTTTATGCTGATTTAACTTATTTTAATATGTTAATCAAGTTTTAACTACATTTTAAGTTCTACAAAGTTTAACTTAATATTATTAGTCAGTTTGATTAATGTAAGTTAAAAAAGTTTATTTGATTCAACTAAAAAGTTAAGGCAGCATGAACGTCTTTAAGTGTATGGTATATGTAATGTACAGTTGAAATCAGAATTATTAGCCCCCCCTGTTTATTTTCTCCCCAATATCTGTTTAACAGAGGAACAATTTTGTTCAACCTATTTCTAAACATAATAGTTTTAATAACTCATTTCTAATAACTGATTTATTTTATCTTTGTTATGTTGACAGTAAATTATATTTTATAAGATATATTTCAAGACACTTCTATACAGCTAAAAGGGGCTAAAGGGTTGTTAAAAAAATTAAAGACTACTTGTATTCTAGCCGAAATAAAACAAATAAGACTTTCCCCAGAAGAAAAAAATATTTTCAGACATAGCCAACTGTGAAAATTTCCTTGCTTAGTTAAACATAATTTAAGAAATATTTAAAAAAGAAAAAAAAAATCAAATGGGGGCTAATACTTCTGACTTCAACTGTATATATATATATATATATATATATATATATATATATATATAACTTTTTTTTTTACTAGTGGCTTACTTTATATCAGGACTTTATATCGTCACTTTATATAAAAGGAAGGAAAGATTTCCAAAGATGCCTTCAAGTTATAAACAAATGTGTGTTTTTGAAACTAATGAAGACAGCAGAAGTCAATGATTTATTTTAATGATTTAGCCTGACATGTTTACTGTTCCACAACATTTTAAATGTTTCTTAAAATAACATATATTGTTCAAAGAGGACAAAAGTCGATTTTTTACTAAGACATTTTAAAATAACACATTTAAAGCATACATTACAATAACGTGATACCGTGATCATTTTATCCAAAGTAGTAATTTCGTCAGAAACTTATAATGAGCCTATGCCTAATCCATTTTTTGTTCCAATCCGGTTTGACTTGCTTTATTCGGTGGAAAACAAAACCATATATGGTATATATAGGACAGTGGAAATTGCAAATCTGAAAGCATTGGAAGAGGGAGAGGATTGGCAAAGAACCTCAGTGCTATATGTCGGTGCACTAAAAAACTTTTTATGAAAGTTCATGCTGCTCTTTTCCATGCAGTTACAATGAATCGAGCTTTTTTAGTGATTTTTTTTACTTTACAAATCTTGAAAGCTCTCTCTACCATTCATTAGAATTGCCTCTTATTGCACTGCATAAAATAAATCAACTCATTTCTGTTCTGAAACAACAAGAAAGTGAGTCAATAGGGTATATGCACAGCTAGTGTTTCTTCCCATACTGATAAACTTCAGTTAATGTGACTTTTTCATTTTATACAGTTCCTTTTACAGCATCGATGTTGTAATGTAATTAAAATACAATCAGTTAAATAAACTTTAGCACTAATTTATAATAGTTGTTCAAATTTAATAGTTGTTCAAACGTAAAACGATGAAAAACACGGAGGCGCCCGTCAGGATTAGCAGGCTAGTACAGAAACTCCATTGAATATACTGGGGTAAAATAAATGTTCATATTTTAAAGACATGGTTGGGGAAAATGTAATTTAATGCAGTGCTTCTTGTACATTCTGAGACCCACTTTCTATCGTATATCAATCAGGCAGTGAAAATCATTGACTTTTGAAGAAAACAGACCTTGAAAGTGTCGATTTTGTAATGGCATACAGTTCACCGGACGCGCTTTGACCCAGTTTACTAAAAAATTAAAAGTCTGCATACTTCTGCATATACTCCATTACAAAAACAAAACAACTTTTTTGGCTGAATTATTAAGTAAATTGATATCATGCAGAGTTTAAGGAGATGTGGATTTCAAACCAGCCCAACAGTTAAGGGAATGTTTTAATGATCTAGAAAGAATTTACAGCAGTGCTTCAGCACAGGAAAAATAGTTCATCTGGTTCATTAAAACAGTGCAGACAGCTGTTAAACCCACAAAGAAGCTTTACTGGGAACCGTTTTGCTGTTATCTCCGGACTGTGCATATACACATAGCCAATCCTAAGAGAATTTACTCCATCAAATTAGCAACAAATGTGAGGTCTGCAAACAACTTGTAGACCAGCAATGTAATAAATACTTTCATTTAGAAAGCGTGGAGGACGACAGGTAAAATTGCTTTGGAGGTAAACAACTCCACAGCTTCACTGAGAAGCAATTACTGCTGGGTTGCTGTTGCATTGGGGTCCACCAATGCATTTCACGTAGATGCTTACTGGCTAATAACAGAAAGTTGCTATCATATCGCTGTAATGGGGAAAACAGTCAATGTGACAAAACAGAGTCGGGACAAAGTGATGAATCACTCTGGCTTGACAACACGGGCGGGCATTGATGAAGCAGCTGGCAAAGGCTTTGAGCGCTGGGCGTGTGGGGTTTGCGAACCGAGCTCTGCAGAGCCCTTGACTGCAGGCGGAAAACAGATTGAATTCACAGGCAAATCTGTCTTGAAACACTTTTCCAAAGAGTCAGGAGATGCTAAACGAATGACACAACAGGAGAGAAGACACAGTATATGTGATAGATAGACTAGTTTGGTATATATTTCTATGAAAGACGGCTCAGCTTATGGGCTTTTGGGAGATGATGGTTTTGAAAAGTAGTCTGGTGTCGAGGACAGAGAAGACTAAAATAATAGGAATGTAGATGGTAGTTTTAATATAAGGTAAGAAAAAAGCAGATAACAGAATGCTTTAATGTTCTTATTATTAACTATGTATTAACAAGAAGTATAATAATATATAAATAACACTGGAAGAGACTACAAAGTCCAGAAACCATATGCAAGTTCAGCAAATGGATTATAAAAGTCAACATTTAAGACTTTGTTTCCAACTTAAGAATCCATTTTTAGATAAATAAATACTAAATAACAACAATAATAACACAAATAAAACGCATCAATGCACTGATTTCAGTGTAGTAACTGTGACCTGTAGTCTGTGCCAAGCAATTAAATATACACTTACAATAAATGAGAGATAATATATAATTAGATGCTTCTTTTCATGCAGAACCTCAAGAATGTAATAAATAAGCCCAAACCTCCAGAGTATTGTTGTTCCAGCACCCTAATAAGCAACAGCTACATTATTTCCCCAGTAACCCATTAATAAGCTACCCAGTTGTGTCTTTTTAATGGCTCTGGAACTAAAACAAAGGTTGAAAGTCATATATTTCTATTTCAGTAATCTAGCGAGTTTAACTATTACTTCTAAATGTATGGCCTAAATGTTGCACTAAATATGCTGAAGGGGCTAACACAGCTTCAAAGGGAAATGGGGGAAATTATAAGGTGATTTAACAACACTCCATATATATATATATATATATATATATATATATATATGAAGGATGTTTGGTTTCCAAGCAAGTTCATTCATAGTTTATTAATGTACATAACTCATATTTATTCTCTAGGATTTAAACTCATGAACTTATGATGTTAAAATAATTTTTCCTAAATCAATAGTGAAGCTCTATTCTTATCATAACATGCCCTTTTACATATATTTTACACCGTTAGCATGCATGATCAACCTTATTATGTTGAATGAATGATTTGAGAGAAGAATACATACAGCTGATGGTGATGCCCAGCTCCACACCTGGCTTCTTTGGTAGCTTCACATGGAACGTCCCACTGCTTGGGATGACAGATTCTGTATGAAACAAGCACAGGAACATAAAAAAAGGTTCATTTTTAGATGCAAGTTCATCCATATAATTCCTGAGATTAAGCAAGTCTGGATTTATAGACCAGTTTTTGGAGAATGAACGGTACGGTAACACTTTGAGTATTAGTAGACTGTCTGCTTAATATCTGTTGATACTGCTCCTTCAACAGACATTTAACTGACTATAAAAATGTTGCAAGTACATGTCAACTTACCCTGACAGTCTACTTAAAATCTAATGAGAATTAGTTGGCATGTAGATGCAATGTAACCTAAATTCAACAAACGGACCATCAAAATAAAGTGTGACCGAATGAACAAACAAACATTTGTTAAAGAGATTTTTCTGTCCATTTTTTCACGAAATTCAAAATGTTTAGTTGAATTTCCAAGCTGTGACCATTTATAGTCACAGAATGAAAAAAGAATAGCTTTTAGAGCATTTGTTTCATAGCATGACAGAAAGTAGAGTAAATGCCATCAGAGCATTCATTTTGGCTGTTCTGGAGACAGCGGTTTATAAAATTCAGTCTTTCTTTTAGGCTGTGATGTAGACAAATCTTTCTGACAGAAGCCCGAAAAAGCTCAGTCTGGGAGAAAAAGGGAGGGGAAAAAAAATCTCCATAAAATACGTCCTTTTCCTCTGGGCAGTGAGTCAGACTCAAAGAATGACAGAAGTGTCAAAGCGTTCAAAGCAAGAAAAGGCACTGCACTCCAGTAACCCGCCATTACACAAAGGCCTCTGCTCTTGAAATGATCACGCAAAAATTCAGGCCAAGTCATTTATTCCAAGTCATCAAACAAGAGTCTCAAAACAACCGCTTGGCCTTAACGACAAAGAATATTTTAAAAGAAAAAAACACCAAGAAAGTTGTTCTGCCTCCAGCACATCTTTTCTGTTCTCTGATAAAACATTTACATTATTTGCGTTGGGCAGAAAACGTACATACATTATTCAAAATGTGTCACAGGTTAGAAATAAAAGAGTTGCAAATGAAGGTACGCTGCTGGCATATTTCAATAATAAAATACAATACATAAAGCTAAATTTAATTAACAAGTTTGTTGGATAGACATACTGTATCTCATACTACCATACAAAAGTTTTCTAGAATCTTTAATGCCAGATTCAGACTACACATTATTACATGTGTACATTACTAATTTTAACCACACAATAGTCACTGTGTTTGATTATGTAATTTAGACTTTTTCTAAAATTCTTCTCAAGTTGTGGGTAAGAAATGCGAAAGACTACAGTGGACTTTGCTTCTTGACCAGTCATCATTTGCATCAAAATCAGATATAGGGGTTGATTCTGCAACCTCTCTTAGTTTATATATCAATAATATTGATACATATATTAATTTAAAATTTCACTGTTATGCTGTGATCACACTAGAGTTTGTGCGTGCGAAATTCTGTTATACGGTGCTACGAAAAGGGGCGGGGTTAAACAAGATTTTTAGACATTAAAAAAAGCGAGCGATTGGTCAATGTTTTAAATTCTTGTCCAGAGAGGTCATGTTTTGATGTTCGATTGGTCTTACGCAATCACTTGATGCGATTTCGCAGTTCAGTCATAGTTCACCAAGCTTAAACTTTCCAACGTAGCGAACTGCGAAACTTGTCGCACAAGCTTGCGTTTGAAGCATTTCGTTCGTGTTTTACTGTCATGCCTAAAAAAAAGGTAAAATTTAAAAAATGCTAAATTTCGCTGTCTATAATTTCTAATAATAACTCCTGCATAGCAGACCAACAACATACTTTCACATCTGACACTCAATGACACTTGAATCCCCTGTCAGAAAAGTCTAGTGGCTGGGAATGACCTTTCTACGCTGTCTAGTACAATGTTAATGTTGTTTTTGTGTATAAATACATAGATGAAAATGGCCACGGTGTAAATGCACAGTATAGTTATGATCTTATAGCCAAATTATATAATTATGATTACATGATATCGTTGCCAAAAAATAACGCAACTGAAATAACTACAGCAGTCACCATCGCCAATCTCATATGAAGCAAGAGATCACGATGACATATGTTGACGTGTGCAGGTGTTGTAACAGTGTCCCGTTTCTTAGGGGTAATATTTTAAAGCCCTTCCCCGTTACACTCTGTTTCAAGGGCCAAGGGGAGAGGGGTAAAAAATAGATTTGGGATTGGCCCTTAATGTCTCAGCAGTACAGGTACCTTGGGATTTTAACTAATGACTCTCTTGTCCTGCACGTTTAACAATTGTTAAAAAGACTGAAAGCAAAACTTATTTCATTTTATTTAATTATTTATTCTTTTTTTCTTGGTTTTTATTTTAGTATCAAAGCCTGAATTTCCTTGAGCCTTTAAAGTGGCTCATTACCAGACTATGGTGATTAACATGCATGCATATACTCATTCATTCATTTTCTTTGAACTGCCAACTTATCCAGCACATGTTTTACGCAGCGGATGCCCTTCCATTTAGCTTTTTCAATTCACCTGTAACGCATGTTTTTGGACTGTGGGGGAAACCGGAGCACCCAGAGGAAACCCACGCCAAAAAGGGGAGAACATGCAAACTCCACAAAGAAATGCCAACTAACCCAGCCGGGGTTCAAACCAGTGACCTTCTTTCTGTGAGGTGATGGTGCTACCCACTGCGCCACCGTACTGCCCCATGCATATACTGTATAGTAACAAATATAATATAGTACAGTACAACATACAGCATAGTACAAATGTTTACTGTCTACTTTTTAACCAATATATCTTTGTATAAATGATTAAAAAACACTGATCCCAAACTCTAGGTGGGTTCTTGCACTGTAGAATATGTGAAGGGAACAATATACGTCTTCCAGAAGCTGCATAAAGTCATATAAAAGCTTGACAGAGAAACTCATTTTTGGAGACAATTTGCATCCGTCGATTAACGGACAGCAGGAGGTCTGTGCCAGTGCCGTAAGCCTGCGACTACCCTTTAAGTCTTCAGAAATGCAGTTAAACAGATTCCTGATAAGCTAAATAAAAGAAACTAATTAAATATCATACCAAATTAAACAAGACAAAACACTAGGATGACAAGCTAATTACAGCATGTCTCAAGGACTACAGGCGCTCGCCGAGGCCCGTACTGTGATTACTCTGCCAGAGCACAGCACGAGATGGAGAAACGAGAGGATGTGTGTTGGATTTAAACATGAAAGTCTTTGAAAACAGTATTTTTTTGTGCGGATGTCTGTCTGGAAACGGTAGCTATTAAACCACTTCTGATCATTTATATACATCGCATAGACAGCAGATGGTTAACCTCTAAAAAAATGATTGCTGAACATTTTTTTTTCTCCCCCAAAAGCACAAGGATGATCCTGGGATGTGGCCAGATGGATCTTTCATCCCCAAACAGGTTTACAATTGATGAATCTGTGCGTGTCCCCACCTGCTACGTCAAACTCAATCTCCAGAGTGACTTTGCTGGTGATGCTGGAGTCTCTCAGCAGCTGATTGGTCTCCTCCAGTGTGCTGTCCTCGGTCGGGATGCCGTTTATTGACAGGATGCGATCGCCGATCTGCAGGATACCGCACCTGTGCACAGAGAGGAGATTTAGCACACTATTCCTCTTACACCGGCCAGCAGACTCGCTGTGCTGAATGCATAAAATTCTCAATAATGGACTAGCTGCAGGGAGAGACAAAAGCGGTGGTTGTACCCTCACACTGACCAGCCAACCACTTATTTCAAGCCAGCTGGCACCGTTAAATAGACATTAGTGAGAGGATGTGACATTTTAGCCAAAAATACAAACGTCCTCTTAGCTCTTGCCTCAAGGTCAGCGTTGAACAAAAACTTCTTTATTGAATTCTAAAACGGCTCATGAGCCAAACAAAAACAATTTTGCTTCTGCTTCCACAGCTAAAAACCCCAGTAAAGCTGGTCACCGTGAAGCATATGCTTCATTTTGGATGCTGAGATCTGGTGTGGGCTGCAAGCATCGCCACTAACAGAAACCAAACGCATTCAAACATGCCACATTGAGATTAGTGACAAAAACCAATGGTGGATGATGATTCTAGAGCTATGCCAGTGGGAAAAATTTAATGAGAATAATGGCTTTTATGTTTTTTTCTTTGCTTTCTTTTTTAGAGTGAACTACATTGGGATGTGAGCATGTATGCCCATATCGGGTTTGTGTTTCCATCTGTGCAATGTGATCTTTAGTGCGTTTCCAGTTCATCTCTAAAAGTTCCCAGCTGTATGTTTGAGCAACAATCAGCAGATGCCTTTGAGACATTAATGATTTTAAATGTATGTTAATGATCTCTTTTGAAGATGTTTATCAGATGTCTTCAAACAGTAATTAGAAAATTATGCTTGAACTCTTGAACGACATCTTGTACAGCACATACATAATCTTCAACTTGCATAAGTAGGCAGTTTCTTGTCAAAACTATATTATATTATATTATATTATTTTATATTATCTTATAATATATTATATTATATTATATTAATTTAATTTATATTATTTTATATTAAATTATATTATTTTATATATTATATTATTTTATATTATCTTATATTAAATTATATTATATTATATTATGTTATTTTATATTATATTATATTATATTATATTATATTATATTATATTATATTATATTAATTTAATTTAATTTAATTTAATTTAATTTATATTATTTTATATTAAATTATATTATTTTATATATTATATTATTTTATATTATCTTATATTAAATTATATTATATTATATTATATTATATTATATTATATTATATTATATTATATTATATTATATTATATTATTTTATTTAATATTATATTATATTAAATTATATTATATTATATTATATTATATTATATTATATTATATTATATTATATTATATTATATTATATTATATAAGACTTTATTTTGATGGTCCCTATTGCACATTTTGTTAATAAAAAAAGATAATTACTTCTCAATTGAGTATTAGTAGATTGTCTTCTTAATAACTGGTGATACTGCTCCTTTAACAGACATTAAACTGACTATAAGAAAACTTGCAATTACATGGCAACTTCCACTAACCCTTTTCCAACCTAACAGTCTACTTATAATCTAATGATAATTAGTTGGCATGTAGATGGAATGTAACTTAAATTCAACAATATTTGTTGAAGGGACCCTCAAAATAAAGTGATACCTTAAATTATATTATGTATTATTATATAATGTTATACGCAATAATAGCAATTTCAGTTCATAAGATATTTATGTATATATTAAAAACCACCATAATGCAAACTAACAGTTTTTTTCCCTGTAAAAAGATTGCTTTTATTCTTACTTATATAAAATAGCACTGTTCTACTGCTACTTGTTAGGTAGCTTAATATATGAAAAAGCTGCATTATTATTTTTTTCTCTGCGCTGTGAAGATGTGGGTCAAAGATGAGATGTCCTATTTTGGTGTCTGCATCAAATTACATTTACCAAAGTGACTTTACATACACAGACAGCATATTAAATCCAAGTGTCTGCTTCAACACTTCAAAAAGCCTGAACTACATTGTCATTCAGCGATGCATTGATGTAAAAAATGAAACATACTTAGTAAAATATATTAAAGAATAAGTAATACTGCTAAATTTTGTACATTTTTAATTATTAAAAACATCCTGCAGACAAATGTTAAACTGGGTGGTTTATGGATGGTGTTGAAGTATACCGTATTAACATATGCTTATTAAATACAGACTTATAAGTCATCAAATGATTCTTGTTTCTAAATATGCCAGAAAGGTTTTTAACTGAACAATGTAGTCTTTAAATCATAGTAAAATGTATGGTGCTCATTATTTTTTTGTTTCTGTTTAAGCAGGCCACATTGTAATGTGCTGTATGTAAAAAAGCACACTTATTTTAATGCTTCAAATGCGTTGACCCATATACAGTAGTTAAATTGGCAGCATCCCTTCTTTTGGTCACTAAGCAACAATAGGTCTTTATAAAATCACCACAACATTGGATGGTTTACGTCTATCACTAAAATTACAACTTCAGCTGGCAGTGAGAAGTAATTCCCGTTGTTTGGGCCAGTAATTAGAGTGAAGCCGGGATGTAAATCCTCTCAGTCGATGTGCAAGTTCACGCGGATGCCAGCTGAGGCTTCAGGTAATTATAGTTAAGTGCTCTGCTCTATCACGTAACGCCTTAGTCAATCACAACGCAAGCAGACTGGAAATCAAATCGTCACGGTCAGGCCGTTGTACATCATGTGTGATCATCGCATTATATCAATGATGAAGCTGCGGCTCTGCGGAGGACAAGTTCTAAGCGGCGCGGTGATGTAATAACTGTGGGCTTTGGGATGTGTTCAGATAATCAAAATTAGATTCGAGATTAAATATTCAAAATTCCCAAGGGGAAAGTTCACACTTCTCTGATAAGGCAAACAATTAAGCTGTGAAGAGCGCTCCGATCTGTGAAGTGGTTTCTGGAATATTAAAACCCAGAGTTTTAACTAGGTCAGATGAGGCGCTGGAGAAGCACTGGAGATTAATATAAACTGTGTTTGGAGATCGTACCGCTCTGCCGGGCTGTCTGGGTCTATGTAGGCGATGAGTGGCGGAGAGGACAGGGTTTCTGTGGCAAAGACTCCTCCCTGGAGCTGGATCCCAAAGCCCATGATGGAGTCGCTGATGAGGGTCACCTCTGTTGTTTCGGTGTGGACCACCTGCCCGGCCAGTCCAACAGTGCTGGAAGCCAGAGACACTACAGGAGGGAAATAGAGGAAAACAGGGTCACTTATGATACAATGTTTATGACGGAAACTAAGAAAACAGACCTCAATGGCATCATTAATGAAAGTACACTGTAAAAAGGGATTAGTTAAAGAATCTGAGTAAATCCATCTTTTAAAGTGATTAGTTGGCTTTACTTAAAGTGCCATGAAACCCCTTTCTTTCTGTTCAAGTTTATCTCAGAAATGAGACACAAACCGTGGGACCCATGATTTAATAGTTTAGAAAGTTAATAGTTTACAACGAAATAAACAGTAATTGAATGCCCTGCTAGATTTGTTATTCATTATTGTAAATAGACATAACCACAATTTGTTATATCATTAAAAAGATAATCATGTTTAAATAAACGCTATAAATGACGAGGACTTCTTTCCTCCTTAATCCCCTGGTCTGAATGCAGACACAGTGGATAGCAGTGCAGCAGGTCTCTTGCCCTGTCTCTTTCAACCATTAATCCTGTCGGTAATCTGGACGATTTTAAAAATAGGCGAACACAGCAGCACGGATATAGGCGATGTGTCTGAATGGTAACAAACTCAACTAATAAAATACAAAGTCCGCCATTCTCCAATTCTCGTATAGCTTCCTGACAAAAATGCTTGCTGCACACAAACAGCTTGGCTGTATTGGCCCTGACAGCATCGCGGGAAAAATCATGCAAAAAACCCGGTAGATCATGGAAACAAACTCATAACGTTGCGACCCATTATGAACGGCTAATACTGACCGGACACAGTCTCACCCAGTCATTAGGTCTCACAGCTTGGCAGGTCTGCCTTTTCCTTCAGAAAGCATGTGCTCTTATGAATAATTAAGAAGCAGGGTCTTTCCATAGGATAAGATAATTCTGCTGTGAATAATAATGAGAAACCAACGTGTCATCACTCCACTTGCAGATTTGCACTACGTCACTGGTTTTGACCACACCCCAAAAATGATTTTAAACCCGGAAGATGAAATTAGCTGACAAAAGCTCAAAAATATCACGTTTTCCCCACAATTAATGCTGACAGTGGCTAATGTTTTCCTAACTGATGCTCAACACACACAAATCTGATAAAATGTTAAAAAGTACTCGAGGGTGTCTTGAAACTTTAAAAATTATCTGCATAATTATAAAAATAACTTTAGTCAACTTAAATTACAACAGACTTTTTAAAGTCAGTGTGTTGCTTTTAAGGCAACAAATTTACTCACTTTTTTAAGTAAAGTAACCAATCACTTTTTACACTGTACAAAAAAGAAACATGGTAAATCAAGCAAATGTTGGTTAACAATACTTTAAAAGGGGTAGATTACTCAAAAACCCACATTAGTAGAACATTGATTCATAAAATAAAATATAAAAAAATGACTACTAGGACTTTGAGTAAAAGAAAACCAAAAAAAACAGACAAAGCTAAATTAATACCTGTAGCTGCTGACTTTTTTTTTTTTTTTTTTACTTTAAAAGGGTTGGTAGCCAATGACTTGTATTTAATTAAACCACAATTTTAGCTCTCCTATAATGGCCTACTTCCATAAATATTTTGAAGGGGAGTAAATTAAAAGTGAATCTTCATTTTGGGGTGAACTATCCCCTTTAAGAGTTTCCAATGGATGTTCATCTCAGAGCTTTTGTAAAAGGTCGTCAGGCTTGCGAGTTCTTTGCAGTGACTGAGCTGGATTTGTGCCCTCGCTGCAGATAAGAATTCAATATGTGCGCTAGTATCTTTGGGCCAGGTGCTCTTAGAAATAAGAAAAGGCACTTTGATATAGAGCTAGTGTATATCGCACATCAGACCACAGGGATTCGGGAAACTCTCTCTCTCTTGATAGCAGGAAATATGAGGTTGTTAGAACTTTCTTATCTCGCCGTTCTAGGTCTTAAATGACTATATTATACAGTACTTAAACATACGCTTGCTAATATGCCAAAACTGTGTGAAAGCAATGCAAAAAACTGTAAAATAATAAACATTGAGGGTGTTTTAGTATTATGTTATTTATATGCAAGTCAATTTTTAATTAATGTACTATTTATTTACTATTTAAGTAAGTTTTGGATTTTCTGTTTTCCTAAATATTTAGTTGTAATAATGAAGTTTAAAATCTGTGAATGTTTTTAATTGTCACTTTTATTTTATTTATTTATTTTTAGTTTAACTTTTTTAATTGTAGTCATTTTAGTATGGCAACATTTCAGCCAGTTGCTGAAGGTAACATTTTTAATGAATTGCTTTATAATCTTTATTTCAAACGACAACAAAATGCTGGTTTTAGTTTAAGTTAATAATAACAACATTGCCACCATTAAACAGCATTGGCAAGTTATCTGTCTTGTGATGGATGCTGGACAACGGAGTAGAGGATCCAAGTGTTTATAAAAAAGAATAGTCAGGCAGGCAAAGATCCATCATAGGAGAAAACAAGTGCATACAGAGAATCCATAGAATGGTCAGTAAACAGGCGAATGGTCAGGACAGGCGGTGAAAACACTGCGTCGCAATGTTCACTAACAGTATAACAAAGCCTTCTTTCCACTGCACACCACAAATGACAAGCGACAAACCGGAAGACATTAATTTCCAAAGGAGAGTAGACGTGGAGTTATGATCATCTCTGTATGCGGAAAATTCTAATCTGAATTGCGCTGCGGATACATTGAAATATTTTAACTCCTGCGACTAGACCGTATGCGACCGGCCGACCGGATGTGATGTATTTCAGTGTTGTCCAAACAGGTCCGTGCACATGAGATGAGAAATACCATTTTTTTTCATAATTTTTTTAAATCAGAAAAAAAGTCTATATTAAAAAAAAAAAAAAACATTTCTATTCATAAATATTAATAAAAAAATAGATTTTTTAATGTCGTTTCCACATTCCCTCTGAAATTTTTAGCGGTTTATGAGTTTCTAGTATCCATTCATTCAACCATGGTGAATGCTTGGGGAATAAAGGCTCTAGCTTTTGTGTGTGTGTAATCAAACTGAAACAGGAACAGGTGTGGGTGTGTGGTGCATGACAGGAGTTGTAGTTGTTTTGGAGGCAGATTTGTATTTCTATAGCAATCTATATGGAATATTTAATATTTAACTTTGAAATGATTATGGAAATACAAACATATATTAATGTATTCTGTAAAATAGTTGCTTTAATTTGTTATTTTCTTTCTTTTTTAGCATTTTCCCTGTTTATTCTCATCTTATTTATATATGCATGCATTAAACTAATGAAAAATTAAGATAAAAAAAGCAATGTGCAGTGTGAAGGATGAATATTCATTGGATTGTGTTTTCAATGCTCGATTTAAAAAGGTAGAAAAACAGCCTATATGTTTGTATATATGTATTGGCAGATAAACAGCTTTGCTTCTCTCTGCCTACATAACAAACGAGTCCTTGAAAACAGATAAAGCATTGTTTTCACCTCACTGATTGAGAGCGTTTAAATATCTTACTGAAAAGCAGGCAAGCACATAAGCATAACCAATGTGATTTATTCACAGCGCTGCGCCCCATTTACAATTGTCTATATCAATAAAGTCTCATGGGATACATCTCAACTGCACAGCCACAGATTCCTAACTGGGCTGCACAAAGAGCCAATTTTGCCCATGTTTATCGACGATAGCAACTTTGAGAGATGTTTGTCCACACTGTGTGCTCTCAAAAAGGCAAGCAAAAATCCGCTTTGACACTCGAGTGCCTGTCAAACCCTTGACTGCCCAAGCCTGAACCCTCATCCCAAGCTCCAGAGAACACAGACGGTAAACAGGAGGTCTCTTTCCCCCCACGGACACATACCGGAATCTGCCTCCAGGTTATCGACGCATCCTTAAAGAGCCTGTTATACTCTAGTGTGACTTGAGAGAGAGTCTATGGGAGATTGATGAGCCTGCTCAGGGCTGAGATTTACCGCTCCAGACACCTTTATTGTTTTAAATGCGGTGACCTTTCCTCTTTTATTGGGAGTGAGGGATGAAAGAGGGAGGTTAGGGTGACGCTGATGAGAATGGGACGCCTCTTGGATGCCGAAACGCTTTCAGGGACAGGGCCACGGTGCACATCGATCAACATCAGTTTGGGACTCTTTCTTTCTGAAGTATTGGAAACAACACTGACTGGTCTTTTGGCAAATGGCTCTGGGGCCACAGACTGAGAATTGACCTGTTTCGCAGTGCTGAATGGAGAGGGGATTGAGTTAAGTGGACAGTAATTAGTCAATTACTTTAATAATAATTCAAATAACTACTCATTTGTAATGTGAGTTTTATTGTACTGCAAAAAAACTAATATGCATTTAAACATAATATATTATTAAAAAAATAAAGGATGCACTAATATACTGCAATACTATCTCTCTTACTCTAGTACTATTGATATACTGCTATTGGAGTTTTGCATGACCTTTCATTTAGATATATTCAGTAGTTTAGCAACATAACTGTTTTTTTTTTCTAGCATACTTTTTGTAATTTAGCTTTTGGTTTTAAGACATGAACTTAAATTATGCATGGCATTCAACTTTACAGTGTTTGCTAGCGCACATTGTTAGTTTTAAAGTAAACAAACAATCTATTTAAGATAATCTGCTGTTTGTTTTGGTAAACTTTAATCAAAAATCAAATAATTTGCTTCTACTCTGGAACAGGGGTCCTTTTTTTGATGATGTCAGTTTGACGGAGTGAAATATGATAAGCCACGTCTCTTCAACTATTAGTTTGCTATGAGTGAAAAATGAAGGGAGGAATGCAGAAACCCCATCCCTACTCAGTATTCCATTTCACTCGGAAATTTATCATCAGCTAACAAACTTTACACGTTTTATTTCAGCCACAAGCAAGCGCATAATTAAATATTTTTATTTAGTTTTTATATTTCAACTTTTATAAGTGATTTTTGAGTACTAGTTTTGAATAGCGAAAGCGCCACTTATGAATGAACTGCAATTAGTGCGGCACGATTCAAGCTAAAATGAGAATGA